GTATAGGGGGGAGTCGAACGGACCCCCCTCGATTTTTTGCGAATAACTCGCGACCTGTGACCTCTTTTCCGTGACCATGTTTGGCCGAAATCGCGATTCGGCGTATGTCGGCTCGCATTAGCCGCGCGTTTGCAAGCTTTTCGTGATTTCAAACGTTCAAACATGTGATTTGATGTTGCTCCCATACATAAGGGTGGGTGTCAAGGTCACCTGAAGGTTAGGTCACGTCATTGACCTTTGGTGACCTCGGGTGACCTCGGTTCACTTTTTCGAGTTTTGTTCATGTTCTAGGCTAGTTTTTTAGCTGAATTCGAATTTAGCAACCATTTGAACATTTACGAAGTAGTTTTGGTGCCTTCGTAACATGTTACGAAGCTGTCAGAGGCGGTTGACACGTAATACGAATACCCGTCACAACCCCTACCGGTTGACCTGACCTGACCTGACCCGACCTGGTCTAAATGCTTAAATCATCTCTGATCAAAACTAACACGATATTCGTGATCAGCACCCCGGAAAACCACATAGCAGCCACACTTTACGACTTTCTAACAGGTCCCGATTTTCCCGGTTTTCGGGTCATTGACCTGACCTGGAAGGTCACCCGATGACCTAGGACCTTAAAATTGGGTATCATCGGCTTCCTCTCGTAACGGGCAACACGCTCGTTTTTCCGTGAAGCTCTAGCTTGATCAGGGGCCAAACGCGAGGGGGGGGGGGTCGTGCCGCCGAAGGACGCAATGGCCTGTGCCGGCGAGGGTTAAAATTGGGTATCATCGGCTTCCTCTCGTCACGGGCAGCACGCTTGTTTTTTTTTCCGCGAAGCTCTAGCTCGATCAGGGGCGAAACGGCAAGGGAGGTCCAACGCCCCCCCCCCCCTATACGAGTACCTACGTTCGCGGCTGGAAAAACACCAATACAGGGGATGGTTAAAGGCCGGCATCGGGTCTTCAGAATCCAGTGCGGGGCCCTCAGAGGCTAATATGGGCCTTTACAGGCCAGCATGGGGCCTCAGAGGTCAGTGTGGGACCCTCAAAGACCGGCATGGGCCAGCAGGGTAGCGCGCTACAAGGCCAAGGATGTATTACAAGTAGATTAAGGTCAATAAAAGCCGTATTTAGATCAAGAGGACGCGCCAAGAGTAAGCTGACCATGCCTCCTAAAAAGAGGCAGCGAGCATCACCTACCTATTCGATTTCTGGTTCAAGGAGCAATCATAGTAAGTTTAACTCCGCACTTTTGCAGTCTTCTTAAAATTTTAAATGTATGTAGACTAGAGATGTCAATCGGATACCAACTTTTTGGTATACCGATGCCAAACTGATACCAACTTGGTATTTGGTATTTTGATCCTAATGTTGTTCGGTATTTTGTTGGTATTACGAATCCGGCTAATGTATAAGTGGATACGAATTCGGTAAAAAGTTGGTATTTCCCTCATGTTCCCAAGTTGGTTTGGTTTCGGTATTTTTCATGGTTTTGGTTGGCATTTGGTTTTGGTATCGGTATCCTGATTTTCCGTTATTGATATCACTAATGTAAACAATAGGCATACCTATAAGGTGAAATACACACGAAATACCATATCACACACGACAAACGTTAAACTATAAATGGCACAGTTGGTTGACTGTGAAAGTGACATAGGCCTTAACCCGCCCCCCCCCCCCCCAGTCGCCCGTGAAAATGGTTGCACCCCAAAACAAGTGACTGGATCTGCCCTTGGGCAGGGGAGCGGCGAAAAATTTTGCCCACCCAGTGAAAAATCCTTAGAGGAGGCCCTGACTTCAAGCCTTCCCTATTGTTCTTGATGATGCGGGAACTATTTCTAATTAGTGTTTCTAGCTTAGTAAAAGAACATATTGTGCAAACGATGAAAAAAGCATAAATGGAAGATTTTAAATGCAATTTTCTGTAACAAATAATGGTAAATTCTTTACACATCAAGGAAAAAATGCATGCTAACTGATAATTTAAAGTTCTTGGGGCCAGTTGGTTTCTTCTTTTCTTATGTCGCCCCAATGGCCGCGAATACACTTGTGATAACGCCTATCGTTTTTGTAAAAATTTGCCAAAGTGTTTTGAGAAAGGTCAAAATGCACAATACAGCCGAGGGAGTCGATACATGATAAATTGTTTAGAGCAATATGCGCTGATAACATCAAGGGCAAGCTGAAGCATAGCTAATTAACGTCTGCTTGGATGAAGAAACTCCTCAGTCTATATAGGATATTTGAAAAATCGGTGGCCGTAAGTTTATCCCGGATGTCTGGACAACTGTATTGTACAGTAGTCCTCCAATTTGGGACATCGTCACTTGGCGCTCTGATTGAGCCGTCCACGTGACGCGTTCACCCTTCGGCTGTGAAGTGGCCGACCGGGCGCAGTTCCAGCTCGTGTATGGGGCCTCGTATGGGTCGGCCGGCCGCGTGCTCAACTCTGACCGCGCCCTGACCATATGGGTCGGCCGGCCGGGTGCTCAGCCCTGACCGCACCCGAGCGCCCGATTCCACTCGGGGCCCGGCTTTGGCAGTCAGCCTGTCCAGCCCAAGCCAAAGTCCCTTCAACGGCGCCCCGGCAACAAACTACATAATTACCACGTGTTTCCTTCTTTCACTTGCGATTTGTGTTAAATTTAGTAACACATTTACCTTTTATTCTGCAAATGTATTCACACAAGCCTTATGTGTTGAAGACACAATGATATTGTGTTTAAGGACACAACACGACTGGGTTAACACATTTGTAAATTGACACGTCTGCGACGGGTAAAAAAATGCATGATGCAGGGTACACAAGAAAGCCTAGTTAACACGATCTGCCTGTGCGTTTTTAGTCGTTTTTTGTGTCATTTTGTTTTCAGTGTGGGGCACTTTCGACACGAATCAACACACCTGCACACTGTGCATGTGCCACGCACTTCCCCGTGCTTGTGCCGTTCCTCTAATGGCACAAGCTTTCTTTCTAGCAATACCTAGAAAGCGCCAGTGGGAAGAGAAGTTGTTTCTCTGGAATTTTTGTTATTTTTGTGAAAATTCCGCCACTCTTTTCCGCGTTCATGACTTAGTTGTAAGCTCCTTTTTCTATGAAAAAATAGTCGGTTTGGTCTGAATTTTGGCATGCTCATTCCCAAATGAATGATTATTCACTGTACGAAAGTTTGTATTGATAGCTTTAATAGTTTTAAAGATACGGATGATCAATCTTTTTCCAGAAACTAAGTGCACACCCGTTATGTAGAGAACGGAAACGTGACTGGCCTGTGATTGGTCTCCTCTTTCCTATTGTTTTACAACACGATGTAGCGCAACAGCTGCGCAGTCTTTACAGTTCGAGACACCGCCAGTGGCTGCATTCCGTGCTGACATACTGCGTGAAACGAAGCGCTCGTATGGAGCAAAACGTCACAGTCATTGTCACATGTTTTAGATCAGTGGTCGGCAGGTCATTCGGGGTCGTGCCCCCTTTTTGGGCGCCAGGCAGGGCCATTACCCCCACCTACCAGACCCCATTGCTGACACAACTAAGTTTACTGAAATTCCATACCGTCCTGGAACTCTTTGGGTATTTGTGCATTTCCAATGCATCAAATTTAAAACATGACACTTCCTCCACAAAACATTTAATGCCTATATCCCAGTAGCGGCGGAACACCTTCAATTAAGGGGGAGGGGGGGGGGAGCACTGCCGACTTTTGGTCCCATTCTTTCCATGCAACGCCCATAGGGCTAATGTTAAAATGCAAAAATCAAAGGGTGCACGGTGCCCCGGTGCCCTCCCCGTTCTGCCGCCTATGCTATATCCCATTTAACCCTTGTATGTACAGTCTGTCTTAAAAGTACCGCGCAAAGTGACGGTGGATCCATCAAGCCTGACCGAGGAAGGGCCTGCTAAATTTGAGTCACCGAAGCAATTTACATCCTCGTCCATTCCCCAGGTTAATTGGTTCGGTGACTTTCAAACTATAGCAGGCCCTTCCTCGGTCAGGCTTGATGGATCCACCGTCACTTTGCGCGGTACTTTTAAGACAGACTGTACATACGTATAGGGGCGGCGGGTGGTTTTTCGTTAAAAGCTCACGTAAAAGGCATTGGATCACGACCAAATTGTACCCTCGAACCCATCATTTTTTTTTCACCAGCCCGGAAAATATCATGCCCTGAGACCAGTTTTACCAACAGAAAAATAACCGCCTGCCGGAATTTTTGCCTCAAGACCGCTTCACATACGGAGCGTAAACGCGATGGGCTCGTAAGCGGATAGGGCTTTACCGTTTACGCTCCATATGTGAAACGATCTTTAGACAAAAATTCCGGCAGGCGGCTATTTTTCTGTTGGTAAAACTGGCCTCTGGACCCATAATGACCGTTGGCTTATGAGCTTTTTCTGGAGATCATCTTGAGCCATAAAATCTCACTTCAAGAAGTTATAGCGGGTCTCGATTTTCTCGACACTTATCATTGCCCTCTTGAATGAGACGGAATGACCAAGGACCTTAAAAATGGGCAGCAGCGGCTTCCTATGGTCACGGGTAGCACGCTCGTCTTTTTTATGCACAGCTCTATATCAGAGTCCGAGAGGCCGCGGGGGTCCGATCGACTCCTCCCCCTTACGTTAGCGGCTGTTGAAACGCCAACAGACGGGCGACGGTTAAAAGTTGCAGCTGCTTTTGAACGACTGTACGGAGGGGTGAGATGGTGAGGCGAGCAGGTACGTGAAAATTGGTATCTAATCAATGTGTGCTGTGCCTTTGGCCTGGGCTAATCTTTGAACCCTGGGATGCAACAGTCACGATGGCTTCATCACTGGAGCTACAAACTCTAAAAAGATAGGCTTTCTCAGAATCCCTCATTACCCCCACCGAAAGGGCTCCATTACCCCCAAAGGGGGCATGCCCCACCATTTGCCGACCCCTGTTTTAGATCGTCTCACGTTGACCTGACTGGATGAAGTCGGTGAGTGAATCGTCACAGCGTCATTGCTGACGTCAAATGTTTCAGGTCGTCCCACGTCAACCTGACTGACGACGTCGGCTGTACGATGAAGCCGAACCTGCTGTCCCCCTGGTTGAAGACGAGGCAGGAAAAGGCGGTGATGGCCTACAGGTAGGTAAAGCGACGTCCGAATCGACGCCCGAACTACTGCTGTGTCAAGTAAAAAGTAGCGGCGCACATTTGTGCAGTGCCATCACTGCCTATAGCGAAACAACATGGGTATAGATATGCATACCTGGATTTAAACGCGGGTTGTAGCACGTTCAATGCAAGTGATTACAGATAAGTGACATTTCTTCACCTGAATAACCGTCCTTTTCAGTTACTTTTCGGCGTTCAAGTTTCCGGAGCAGATGGACGTCATCATCGAGTGTAACCTGGACCTGTGCAAGGGAGAGTGCGGCGTTTGTGAGGAGGACGTTACAGCGGTAGGTGTCCGCTTCTGTAGTCTGTCTGTAATCCTGTTGTAATCTGGCGTGACTGCCGACTAGCTTACGTCGCAACACATTCATTCCAATTATGTGACCCATTACGACCCACATGCAAACGGCTGAAAAAAATAATTCAGACCACTTATTGGCTTTTTTCTTCACTTATCACTGCAGATACTGTGCCGCAGCACACGTCTCGACACCTGACGCACTAAGTCTCTCCTCACGTTCTGATGCGCTGGTCACCTGTGGGCTGTAACAGTCCCCACGCTCCCTACAGGTCTCGGAGGCTCTGAGCCGGTCCCGTCGCTCGGTCAACGGCTCATCCTCCGCCGCCGAACAGCGCACGGAGGCTCGCGAACCGGTCCGCCTCGCCCGGCGACTGCGCGTCGTCGCTCCCCAAGACATTGCCATCACGGAAGCAACGCGTACACTCCTGCCGCACGACACGGCACTCGACGTGCGCTTCGACACGGTTTGTGTATCGGTGCTGACGTTTGTCATCAGCCTGGTGGTGATTCTGCTGCTGCTGTTCGTCGCCTCCATCACCACGGCGGTGTTGTGTGTGCGCGCCCGCGGACAGAACACGGCGCTGGTCACGGCCCTGCCAGACTCGTCGTTTCATGCGTTCTCGAGCATCTCTGGTAAGCCGTGAGGGAAGGAGAGGGAGAAGGGGATAATTGGCGACTGATGTGCAGTGGTAGAGCGGGAGGGGAGGGAAGTTGACGTGGGGAGTTTTGGCCTTTGGGGAGGTGGGAAGTTAAGTTGAGGAGTGAGGGAGTGAAGCAGGAAGTGATGTTGGAGAGACTTGAGAAAAGGTAGCGTTAAGTTGTCGGAGGGAGGTTGAGACGATCCTGTTCTTTCAGTAATGTATTGCGTGGATGTGCAAAAGAGAGTGTGTATGCAGTGAATGAGGGAATGAGGTAGCAGTGTTCTTATACTTTTGGTCGTTACCGAGTGGTGTGCAATTTATTTTGTCAGACTACATTTGCAGGTAGGGCTTGGTTAATCAATCATGGGTTTAGAGTAAGATGTAAGAGTACCACCAGCGTCTCTCAGTAGCCCGTTTCGTCCACCATCCCAAATTGAAATGGATGTCTCGGTAGATGGGTACGATGCGGTTACTGGTTATGTCACGGAGCGCATGGCTATTGGATATAATCGACAAATCAAGTGTTGCCTCACTCATGGTGTCAATGTGGTGCTGTCACTCTTTTGATCGATGATCATTTCAGGAGAACCGTTGTTTACCAGTCACCTGACACTTAGCGGTTTGATAGCCCTAAACAGCTGAATAAGCATCGAGGGCGACCGCCTGGCCTTTCGACAATCACTGGCGTCAAATGCGGTTCTGTGACGTGACGTGACCATTTGCCGTCAAATGCATATATGACGCCGTTATTTAACGTCAAATGTGATCATTTGACGTCAAATGCGACCATTTGATGCGATCAGTACGGTGTGACCGGCGACAGTCTGTGCTTTCCGGTAATCTGTATGGAGTCTCCGATTCCGTCTAAGCTGGTTTAATGATACTGTCCGTTTGACACCGTCTACTCGACGGTGTGGAGCGCATGTTTTTTCGCGACAGTGTGTTGTGTGCTATGTGGAAAAGTGTTGTGATATGCTGCTCAGTTGAGGCAGTACTGTTCCGTGCCAATGAGGCGGGATGCTGCCCTGACCGAAGTGAGCACTGAACGTCAACCCCTGCTGATACAATGTTTGGCTTTATGCGAAGCCTGGTTGAGCTGAACTTACTTGTAGGGAAATGTAAGCGTTTGGAGATGTCGATCATCGATAGTTGATTGCCGTTCCCGTCGTATACTGTCGAAAACATGCTTACACAGCGATAATTTATTATTAATACCGTTCAAAATATACAACTTTTAAAACTGGCGAGCAAAATCGCACACGGCATTTTCGCAGCACACTCGGAGCGGCGTTACGCATACACTGATAAAGAACCGAGGAAAAGGAGGACAGCATCGGGACAAACAATAGGTGAGGTGAAACAAAAACGGTGCGAATTTCAACAATGCACATGCACGGGGACTGAAACGACGACTAAATACAGTTAACCGGCGCGCGCCTCTCACACTGAGGTTGGTACGGCCACAACTCAACGGGGTATAGAGGTGATGTTCAATGTCGCATTCAGCAGAGTTGCATCAAACCAAGTCCGCTGGTCTCTGTTCGATAACGGGCGGCCAGATTCCCGATCAGTTAGCCATGGTATAACCAGGAGACCTTGCATCGGATATTGACGGCAGCTACTTACCGGCGGAACCAGCGGCCCCGTACACTCCAGTCAACAGATAACTAGCATCCGTGCAGCAGGTACTAACCATAACAATATGTTATGCGAGTAGCTACTTTAACAGGTTGTTGCAACAGTTGGTTCTCGCTAACGGTATTTAACAACAATAAGTTACATCTAACATGTTTACGATAATTTATTGTATAACAACTTTGAGCTAGCTTGGCAAGTAATCCACTGAGATGCTTACTCTAACATTTTTGGAAGCATTCATTTTTATGATTTTCACACACGAGTGCCGGCGCGCTCGGAGTACATAAGAGAACATTCAGAGAAGGGCGAGGGCCAGCCGTCTCTCAGGGCCGTCCTGTCACCGCCAGGGGCCCCTGCCGCCCCGGGGCCCCGCTCTGGCCCGTGCCGACCCCGGGGGCCCCGCCGGCCCCTGACGACCCTGTGTCTCACCGGGCCGGAGCGCGCAGTTCTGTGATATGTGGCGGCACAGCGCCAGCCGCCGCCAGGCCGCGCGACCTCTGAGCAAATAATCCGTTCGTCGCGCGACCCTAGTTCGCCCGGAAGCCCCCAGGCGGCGCTGCGAGCGTGGCCGCACACTTTGGCAGTAGTATTGCTAGACACACAGTGAAGCAGGGGCTGTACATACCTGTCGTACGGCCACCGGTCCAGGTCAGGGGTCTGGGTCACAGTCGGTCACGGAACGGCCAGGGACGGAGGGGCAGGGTGGTAGGTAGACGGCGCGGGAATATTGCTGTCAGATTGCTGCAGGGCGCATTGGGCTGGCGGGGGAGCACGTCAGTGAGGTGGACCTCCGTATCAGAAAAAAATATCCCAATTAACCCTATTCCTGGCGGGCTCCGCCGGGACAAGAAACTGGCGGGGGGGGGGCCGATTCGGCCCCCCCCCCCCTGAGATCTCGAGAACGAAGCAAGATAGCGACAAGCGGTAAACGGCATCGGATACGCATGGACAAGGTCTACAATTTTTACTAAGGTCATTTTCAGGTCAGGTCAAAGATGACGTCACAGGGGTCGAAAAAGTCAAAATGGCGGCGCTAGATATGGAGAGAGTTTTTCTCGAATAACTTTCGAATTAGTCAAGATAGGAACAAACTAAGGGCATCATCGTGATCCTCTCGTCAATCCGCATCGAATGATATATATGTTGACCTCGAAAGGTCAAGGTCAAAGGTTGACCTCAGGTCACGTGACCTCGAGGTCATCATGTATATCATTCGATGCGTCTTGACGAGCTGAACACAATGAGACCATCCACGCGTCTGTATCTTGTTCCTGTACGGAGTTATTGGCCAAAAACCTTTGGTGACCTTTGATGACGTCACATGACCTCACAGCTGCCCAACAGCAAAACAGACCTCAAGGTAGTGAAGGTTGATCGTATATGAAGTTATGTATGGTATATGGGGCCATTCCGACCCGTTTTAGTGGTAAAAACAGGGAGTTGATTTTTCCCCCATTGACTTATAATGGGGAGGTCGCGAAACTGACCTGACCTTAGGTCACCGATATCAAAATTCCGAGATATACAAATTGCACATACTGGTACCCTAACTAAAGCCTGAAGAGAAGAAATTGATCGGTCAAAAACTCTAGCTCTGGCGTGATTGCAAACTTTTCTGAGGTAGGGTCACCAAACCGCCTCTGGTGACCTGACCTGAGGTCAGATCAACTCAAAATTTTCAGACATGTTGCGTAGAAGCCTTATAGGAAAAGTCAGAAAATTTGAGCTTCCTAGCTCAACGCGTTTGGGAGAAATAACCAAAAAACCTCAGGGGGGGGGGCTCCTGAGGCCCCCCCCGCCAGGAATAGGGTTAATGGCAACAGTTGAAACGTTAGCAAGAAACAAGGAGAAAATGATAATTGGCTCGGGCAACTTAATGTTGTTTAATTTAATTGAAGGCGCCAGTACACCTACTGGCACTGAGGGTTGCGTTGACATCGGGTATTGCAGGTATGCACATTGAGTAAGAATCACTGTCCATGGGCGTCAGAGACTTCAGGGAAGCCGTCATCTTTAACATGCTTCGCAATCACGCAGACTCACCCCAAGCGGCGACTACCCACACCAGCCAGTATGGCTTGTCACATTGAGCTGCGAGCAGAATCGACCTTGTTAACATGGAAAGCTCGGCATAGGGGCCAAATCTGAGGCCCGCTTTACATGTAATCGTTCAAGAATGGTCTATTGCGATCTAACATCTTTCTGATCTGGTAGGCGCACGCCGCGCCATTAGGACACCGAACTACTCGATAAATCTAGGCAATCGATTTGGCACACTCCCTTTATACATTTTTGACACTTCTCCCTCACTTTGTTTGTTATCCTGTTCCATTCATGAAATTATTTAACATTTTAATTGAAATTCGACATATTAATTGAAATATAAACGGTTCGGAGAAGGCGTGGCTGCTGTCGAGACGCGACTAAATTCAAATAGAAAATAACCTTGTCATCGTTGAAATGGGATGTGATGAGCCGGAAAAATTTAAGCATGCAGGGGCGAGCTAGAAATTTATGAACATGAAATGTGTGAAATGTGCGTTCAAAGTGTATAAAGTTCAGGCTTGCTGAGTCAACATTGCTCAGTATCAGGTGCCTTTTACGGTCATAGCTTCCAGGCAAAGTTAATGACGTCCAAGAGTGCTGGAAGTCACAAGTTACCAATTCGGCAACTTTTGTCCACCCAGCTCTACTCAACTGAAAGGGTTTCGTTGACCTACCTAAACTAACTCAAAATTTTGTAGTAGGTAGGTACTATGCGAACTCAGAGATAAAACTGTGACGCTTCTAGAGATGCTTTCTTCTCCCTACAACCAAAAGAAACTTCCGCTGGTAAATCAGAGACCCCAAATGTCGAGCAAGGCATCGTCCATCGACCCCATCGTCTCCGCTCGCCGAGCCGGCCGCCAGGTGCAGGCGCTGCCACCTGGCGGCAGCTCAGGAACCTCTAGTTCCCCATTACGCCGTCCCACCCTCTGCAGTATACGTTGTCTCGATGGCTTAGAAGAGCAGGAAGGAAACCCGCGTGCGACGCGGGTCTCCCTTGCCCCTCCGAGCCATCCCCAACTGTCATATGTTGGGGTCGGAGGATGCCGTCTGAGCTCCGCCGCTGCCGCCAGCCGAGCCCGAGCCGAGCACGTCGTCAGCGCCCTCTGAGCCGCGGTACGGCGAGGCGGACGGGCCGCGCGGCGACAGGCCGCGGAAGTCCAGATTGTACTGCGGAGACACAGTCACAGGTCAGTGGACGGCGGGAAGGGAGGGACAGCACAGCATGGGATGGGGTGGGGTGGGACGGGAAGGGTGGGATAGATGTCACGGTGGGGGAGGGGACATGCGAACAAACGGCGGTTCGGGTTGATCGGGGAGGTAGACGGTAGTGTTGATGGAATAAATAATTCATAAAATAAGCACGAATTATAATGGGGTTTTGAAAATAGATAAAACAGTATGCTCAGCGGTAAAACCATGAAATCCAGAAAACATTGAACTGATATCGCAAACGTTTCTCAATTAAGAAATAAGCAAAAAGTTAATAAAATAACTGGTGTGATTTTCAAGCATTGGATGGAGCCGCCGCATTCTTGAAAAATGATCAAGCAATTCATCGTCCGTGCATACTATTGCACGCTTTGGACCCTAATTTTCTACAATCAAAACGTTTAATTAGCCGGTCAATAACACGGCTGGAATCACGCTTGAAGCCTTCTGCCTGGTACTGGGATGCGATAGACCATGTTGATACCCTCAGACCATTTTAAGGGCCACGGGATTATAGGCTAAAAAGGGCCACCGATTGGGCCAGCCGAATCATCGATTGGTAGGTCGGGTCTGCCGAATTCATCTCTATTTGACCGGAGAGTCGCAGTGGGAGTCTTTCAAGCGGTTATCCCAGCGGAGTGGGCCAATTGAAACTATCCCCACCGGTCGTCTGGTGGGGTGACTGTCAGTACGGGACAGGGAACTATGAGTAAGGATGAGGATAGGTTAGACTCGAGTAAGGATAGGACGGATGCACTTGCAACGGTAAACGTCAGGGGTTCATCTGTTGCTTTTAACCTTTAGACACGGTCGAGGCTCCACCCAAAGCTCAGAAATCGACACGAAAAGCATAATGAATGATCAAAAACAACAGTTAATAGTCCAAAATGAAAAGATACCATGCTCCTACCATACAACACCCACCCATCCCAGTGCCCATCCTCTTTCACGCGCACAGCACCGCACTGCACTCTGTAACAAAACCCTCACACACACACGCACACATACATACACAAACTGTTATACCAGACTGCAACCAGCCGAGCCGGGCTCGCCTTATGTACACACCCAAGCGAAAGCAATTAGAGAAAGTCGAGAAAGTTCGAGACGTCTCCGGAGCCGGGCTTCGAGCACCAGCAGAAAGGCAGCCAGTTTAGCGGCCGCGGGCGGCGGAGCGGCCGACCGCGCGCGCTGCCGGCAGTTAAGGTGGGCTCAAGGCGCGATCAATAGGCCGCGCCGGAGAAGCTCGAGAGAGCCGGCTGGCCAGACGGCGGACGGAGAAGCAGCTCCGCCAGCCGGTGGTGTGTGTGTGTGTGTTTGACACAGCGCGTGACAGTGGCTGTATTTCTGCTGGTATCGACAGGCTCCGGAGAGAAGTGATGACACCACAGAGGTCATCTCGAGAGAAAGAGAGACGTATAGACAGGGTGAATCTCTGCATATACATACTGAGCGATAAGGGAAAGAAGAGAGAAAAGTAGAGGCTGAGCCACCAATGCCGTCTGTCGGGTGCCGGGGCTAGCTCAGGAAACACACGTTTCAATACGTGTACAAATCACAATTAAATGCTATTTTTATTTGCGTGCTAATGGACACATATCAAGAGAATACCAAGGTGTCTTGTCTCAGCCTTTGATTTAGCGACTTTTCCTGAGATCATCTTCCCGGCACCGACTGACAGTCAGGGTTAGCTCTGGCGGCGAATCTAGCTCAAAGGTGCCGCCAATCTGCCTCTATTGCGGCCTGGGAGAGAGCGGTCGACAGGCAGGAGTGCGTCCTCCGCACTGAGGAGGCGCCACACGCGCACACAAACACGGTCGGGACGCGCCAGCCGGCACGACCGACACTCGGGTGGCGCAGACCGTGACCGGACGAAACAACAGAGGTAGAGGCAGAGCCAGAGATAGAGAGCGACAGGTGGAAGAGAGAGCGGCGAGCGAGCGCGAGCGAGAGGGAAGGCGTGGTGGGAGCTCACTCCGACGGGGTGACGACTGCACGGCACACGACACGAGCACGCCGACACGACCGATACCTTGGCTAATCTACGCACATCTGTCGGATAAAGGGTATACATAAACGGAAATGGCTTCAAGCTTCGCACCTCTACTGGGCCCGGCAGCGACACCTCGTACTGAAATGACATGCCAAAGGTCAGGTCAGGTCAGGTCAGGTCACCGGGCGGCACGGCAGTGCTCCGGGCGGGCACAGCCGGACAGAAAGAGAGACAGAGCGAGAAGACGGGGTCCAGGTGGTGGGGCCCGCCGCCAGCCAACGAGACTCATGCGCCGCTCCCCGGCCCACCCCCAGCCCGCCCCAGTCCCTCCGCCTGATATACCGCCCCAAACCCAACCAGTCGAGCGCAGAGTCCAAAGGGACGCTTCGCGCTCGAAATCTACGCCAGAGTTCCCAGATCCAGGCAAAAGGAACATGTAAAAAGGTGCATAACTGTACATGATAAAATCGTAACTAGACTGATGGCGATGCCCGTGCAAAACACTCATATACGCGAAAGTAGCACTGAAATACGAGTTATATGTCTGCTCAAATCGGCAGAAGCAAGATATTAGGCATAGCAATAGGTCCAAAGCTTTTGTTTTATTTAATCATCGTTTATTGAGTCGAGTATTGTCATTTGTCACACACCCTTTGGGGCAATAAGAAGACTGGAGGTCACAATTATATCGTTATATATAGCCAAGTGGAACTAGGCATAGAACGGGGAAATGTCACGAAAGTCAATTGCTCGTTTGTCGTCCTATGGGCAAAAATAAAACAAAAGACACCTGAAGTAGACTAAAAATTGGGGATTACTTCGGCTTTGGTCGATTTGAATTCGTTTTGATCTCCTAAGCTCGTTCTGAAAGCGACGCCTGTTTTTCAGTCAGCCGAATGGTGTTCCAAATAGCCGTTATGAAGGTACTCATTTAGCTAAAAGGAGCAAAATTCGTGTCGGAGAATCATCAGTAAACAGTCATTAATTTTGCCGTGAGTGTTGACTTAGGTCAAATTTTAGGATCCACTGCTTGCGCTGAGTTCGTTTTAGCGGTTCATTGGGCAGCTGGACGCAGGACAGCTAGCCGACCGAGATATCTGCACCGTGGCGTGACGCGGCTTTACGTCGCCGTTACTGCGCGCTCCCCACTGCACGGATCGTGGGGCCACCTGTTAATCAATCAGACGGCCGGCGGCTTTCATAAAGCGACGATCACACCAGATCCGCTGATGAGCCGCCCTGGCACCAGCTGGCAACTGGCCAGTGTGAGTTGCCAGACCGACGCGGCACCGAGCCAGCCGTCCAGCCATCGGCCAGCCAGTTTGTCAGTTTGCCAGCCAGTCTGTCAGTCTGCCAGTCAGTCTGTCAGTCTGTCTGCCAGACTTTGGCCAATTACCCAACCGACTGCCAACCAGCCAACAACCAGTCGGTTAGGCAGGCCGACAGACAGACAGAGACAGACAGACAGACAGACAGACAGACAGATGGCTGTACCAGCATATACCTGGTCATATAATGTCGTAAGACCAGCATCACGAGGACGCAGCCAGCCGGACACTCGGCAGCCCAGGGTGGCCGTACCCGCCAGTCCGCAACGTCAAACGCCCCTCTCACCTATACCTCTCCCATTAGCAGCTCCCTCCCTGATCTCTTTAAAGACCCATCCTGCATTTTCGCTCGGGCCGGTGCATGGTGGGCGGGCGGGGTCGTGACAGGTCAAATGGGCGGGTCCGATGACACGTCCTGCTCAGCCAACCGGTCAGCGGTTCAGCTGGCACAGCGTATAGGCGAGAGACGGCAGCGCTTAGCACACGGCGCAGTTAGCTTTATACAGGACGTCCCTTTCGAGTCGGGACGTCCGGGCTTAGAGTTGGAACACCCGTGCACGGCACATTGAGATGAAATAGAGGCGCAGGTGATACATCGCCGGACACATAGTGATCGCACAGTCAACAGCAATGAGCCCGCGGTGCTCAAGCAAAACAGAAAATGTCCAGCTGACGATCTATAATGTTCGATAGTTTAAACCATTATTATGTTAAAATCAGCCCGGTAAGAACGGCAGAACCACCGTCCGGGGTTGTGTCTGTTGGAGGGTCAAGGGCACTTGCATATGGCGGAGTGCGTTTAGAGAGTCGTCTGCAGAGAGCGGACTGAGACAGGAGCTAGTACCACTCTGGGTGGGCTTAGACAGGGCCGCCAATCAACAGAGGATGGGCTCAGACGGAGCTGGCAGGCCGTGCTGCTGGCCTGGCCTCAGGTAATAAACCGCCGTCAGCCTGGCACCGGAACGGCTTTAATGCCAGGCGTTAACGGTGAGATGGGCGCGTTTATTAATCTATAGCGAACTTTAACGAGCCCCGCGCCCACCAATATGCATAAAGGAAATAGGATGGGCAGTGGTCAGGTCATGGCCAGCGTTTTGTAGGGTGACAAAGAGATTTGGACCACCAAAATAAGGCCGCCGGGCAATGTACCGGGCCAAATGTAGTGATGTAATCTGAATCCTAACCACAAATAGGATAGCGTGTAATCAACCGATTTATAAACGGCAATCGGGCTGAGACTGAAATAGGCAGTTCCAGTTTCAGACTACAGCAGTTTCCATTGGCGAGTTGAGGGGTGAACGTTTAGTTGCTTTGTTTAGTTTAGTTTATAAGAGGTGATAAAAGCGGGGAGTAATGAAGCGGGTGGGTAGCAGATCAGAATTCGGTTAAACATGAGCAAAACTGGGCCTAGTAATACTCGATCTGAGGCATAGGTACATACGTAAGATGGAGGAGCGGACTCTCGCGCGCCACCTCTGCGTGCAGATAAATAGTGATAGTAGCAATATATAATAATAATAGTAATAAATGTAACCCTTGGCGAGGTGCACCGCGGGATCGCCGTGCCACGTGCATTGACCGGGCAGGCGCCTCGCTGGCACGACTGACCTGCGTCCCGCGGCTCACTTACCTTGCTGGCGCACGCGAAACAGATATTGACGACCCTGGAAATGACGTTCATTGCGCTCTTGGTGTCCTGGATGACGTTGTCGACCTTGGTGAACGTGGCCGCCTTGCCGACGGTGGGCGTCTTGACGGCGAACTGCAGCTGCTGCACGTGCGTCGGGATCTGGTCCAGATATTCGAGCAGCTCCTTCTTGTTGGCGCCTTGTGGCACCTGCACAGGAGATATGAACGATAAATAGTTAGCTAGGGCATACATGCTGATTACAGCTGGTTGACTTTTAAAGTGTTTCCTGCCTTCCTGGCACTCTACCTACATAAGGGCACAACTGAGCCCCTGCCCGGCCCCCCACACTCCAAGTATCAGGATTCCCTACCCTTACTGCCCTCACTCCCGATGATCACGCTATCTTTTGAGAAATCCTGCTGCGGATTCTAAGAGTCGCGGGAGTTATGTCCCGAACCTGCAGGTAGCCCTCATCCTTCTGGTTTGCGGGGTCCCAGACTGATGAGAGAAGCGGGTAAGCCGAAATTCCAAAACTCTCGTCCCTGATTCCCGGACCTCCATGGCCCGGACATCCGGAACTATCCGTCCCACACTCCTAGATATATCTATTATCCAGGATATCCGCGGTCTTCCAAAGTTCAACCCAGGGACTCCCGGGATCCGGCACCCCAGACTCCGGAAACACCCGCTGTCAGCTCCCGGGAACACCCGCTGTCAGCTCCCGCGAACACCCGCTGTCAGCTCCACAAAGTTGTCAACTGCGGCGGCGACCGGCAAGCTGTCACACGGGCACGGATGCTAAGTTGTGTGGGGTCGCCACGCTGGGCGACAAAAAGACTGGGTATTGGAAGAGTAGCTGGGGGCTCCAAGGTCCACATGCTCCATCAGAGACGGTGGAGATTAACGAAGCCCGAAGGCCACATGTTCGCATATAAATATAAGCGGCATTGGTTCTTTCAGAGCCACACGCCTTCTTCGAACCGTGACATCTGACCGAAAAAGGAACAAAAGGCTAGCCATGCCAAAATATTTGAAAATTTCTAACAAAGTCCCATCCAAAGAGGTATGCACTAGGGTTACCCGCGTGCTCCGCAACGCGAAGAAGGGTTATTTTTGATCCGTGGGTATTGGGTTGGTCTGTGTCGATTTGGTTGGTATCCATTTCGTTCGATTGCTTTTTGACGGCCGAGCATTTTGTAATAAAACCAAAAAAGATACATCGCATCGAGGTGCCCGTGTCGTATTACCATGCGTTCTACTTTAGAATGATTCGAAAACTGGCGTGAAGTCTTTTGATGGCCATCGATGAATTTCGCTAAAAATGACAATGTAATGGTTTGGAACATTTACATCTTTAAGAATACTGTTGCTAATCATGCAAAAATGAAGAGTGAATATTGGACAGAATTGAATGCTCTATCCAATGGTACCATATTCAATTGCCAAAGGTATCGGGTTATGCAGCAAACCCCGTGTGATTAATAAAGTGGCACAAAATTGACAAACACCATTTTCTCCTGTGATTTGCACCACCTTGATTTGGATCAATCAGCTTTTCTTAAATTTTATATGAGAGGCGGTACCTTTCTCTTGCAAATAGGCGTTGATTCAACTCGCTCCATTTAACGGTCACCTAAAAATAAAATTAATTCCAAAATCCCTCAAAACCGCAATTTTTCAAATAAAAGTGCCCTCTCCGGTGCACGTGGCGCGTGCTATCCTCTGCATTGCACACCATTCAATAGCCCGTTCAATTCTGTACACGATGCTGTTTTCCCCGTGCCGGTCGGACCCCTGGTCACCAAGATATTGCACGGGAACTGGACCCGTGTCGGCCAAAATTAGCCGTTTTCGCCCGATTTCGCACGCCGATTTATACATGTAAAGTCTATGACGCGAATTTGCACTTTTTGAGCACGCACCACGCGCTCCCCATCAATCCGATCGAGCCCAGACCCCTCAAAGGCACGTCGCGCATCCTTGATCTATGAGTTGTGCAAATTTCACCACGCTAGGTGCAACGGTCTGGCCTGTAGTCCACGCAAAGCACCGCCAAGTCGGGACCTCGGTAACGGACAGACGCACCCTCCTCAAATAGTAATATAGATAATGCACACGAAACGAGAGACAACGTGTTCCCTACTCCTTAGTATCGGAAAGCCATTTTTAAAATAAAAATGCCCTTGTCATTTAAAATAGGCCGTTTTACTAATAATTTGACCATGATTTCTAGCGTTGCCTCACTTTTCAGTTTTACTTCCTAGTTCTTTGCATAGATCATAACTTGACCGTTCAATGGCTCTCCCACAAACAGCCAAACGACCGCGTGCCTGGCGGCTGGCGCCGTCCTTGAATGAGCGGTAATGAATCGGCCGAGGACAATGTTATACACGCGGCTCTGACGAGCTGCCTGCCCCGCTGTCCCACCCAACGTCCTGCACAAAAAGACGACAGGCAGCGCTGCCAAGTGGTGGCGACGCCCAATCAGACCTAATGGGAACAGGAGAGGAGTGGAGGGCTGGGAGAGGATGGTCTCTAGACCACGCAGAGGTCTGGAGAGGGTATAGTCTCTGCTGGCGGCCCGCGGCGAGTGCTCACAGCGGGACACACAGCAGGGAGCCAGATATCTGGCTGTTGGTGTGCCAATCGGTTCCGATGTGCACGGAACCATGGATGATATAACACTGGATTGGTGTCTCGTGGAAATTAACATTGGGATCCGCGACATTGGGATCAGGCCTGCCATCTAGCGAGAGAATTATCGTAAGTTAGGAGCAAGCCGAATAAACGCCATCTCTCAGCATTATGACACACGTGGGTGTGGTGTGTTAGTTGGCTTGAAGTGCATATTCCCACGAGTTGGAGGTAATCTTATTGGACCTGAGACGACAAAAAATGTCTTAAATGCTTGAAAGCCAAAAACGTCACGCAGCCTTTAGGTAATAACGAAAATAAAATGCGTAAGACGGTGTGTATTGAAACGCCCAGCCCCATCGGCTTGTACGACCTTTTATATGGTCATTTACTCACAATGGTACAGCAGTTTGACAATATGTCATACATATTTAGTAAGCTTATTCCTTCTTCTCCGAATTTCGCCCGATTTTCTTCATCTTAGTTAACCCGCGCCCTGCTGGGGGTCCTGGATTTCCACGCCCTGCTGGGGGGGGGGGGGTGTTTGAACACCCCCCCTTGTAACTCGGCTCCTGGGCCACGTAGCGATACGCGGAAGGCGGCGTTCGAAAGAGCGTCAAAAATAATGACGAAATCTCTTCGGTCAATTTTTTGGTCAGGTCAAAGGTCAGGTCACCAGAGGTCATTGAAGGCAAAATTTCGCCGATTTCCAGGTCGAATGTCGAAAATTTCCAAGAAGCCAACGCATAACTCGGGAACCAATAGAGCTACAGCGCCGCGGAAAAGCGCATTCGATAGCCCTATTAACGCCCTTTCTGAGTAATTCTCTCAGATTTGACCTAACGTCAACGGTTTTGCCTGCAGGGGGCAAAAACTGCAAAAATAGCCGATTTTTTCGAAAACAGTTTTTCTGCAATAACTTTTGACCCAAGCCTTGTACGAGCTTACTTTTACCGGCATCGTGTTCCTCTCGTCAAGACGCATCGAATGAACTATGACTTGACCTTGAAAGGTCAACTTGAAAATTTGACCTCAGGTCAAGGTCATGACCTGACCGGAAAGGGTCATGTTGCATATCAGTCGATCCGTATCGTCGAGCTGAACACATCTAAGGCGTTTTCAGCGCTCTAGCATGCCTCTATCAAAAGTTATTTGCGAAAAACTGTTAGATACCATTCGTGACCTAAGATGACCTCAGGGCATAAACAAGGGTCACGGACACCATTTTCAAGTTCAGTGTGTCTAAACCACTTGTAATTCGGTGTTTGGGAGTGTTTATAATGTCTTTCATCCAAAAGAGGCGCATTTCAATTTTCTCCCATTGACTTATAATGGGGAGGTCGCAAAATTGACCTGACCTTAGGTCATCGATATCAAAATTCTGAGATATACATTTTGTACATGCTATTGCTCTTAGCAATCGCTGAAAGTTTCAAAGCGATCGGTCACTCGGTGTAGCTATGACAGACATTGAAAGTTTTTATGAGGTGAGGTCACTTCAAGTGACCTGGTGACCTGACCTTGAATGACCTTGGTCTGAAATTTTCACAACATGTGTAGAATTGATGTATGATAAGGTGTACCAAAAACGGCTGCGCTCCGCGCCGCCGTTTTTGAGATATTCGCGAAAAACCACAAGGGGGGGTGTTCAAACACCCCCCCCCCCAGCAGGGCGCGGGTTAATGTTACGGCACGTGCCACGTGCCAACTTAGGGGGTGTCGAAATTGTTCCACATAAAGTAACTCTGCAATGGCTGGGCCCATTACGGTATAACTTCGTCAATAGTTAGGCACCCAGTGGCCAATACATTTCCATGTGTCACCATGGGGGTGCTACTGCACGTGCGCACGTGCGGGGTGCCGCTTCCATATCTCAAGAACGGCTGGGCGGATAACACTCAAACTTGGTACACAAAGTCACATCGATGCTCGCACTGCATTGATCAGTGCTTACATTGGTGCAGAGTCGTTAGGAAAACGATGAAATGAGATGCGTGGTGTTTATGCCTTTCTGTTCCAGCGTCTGATTGATCCGCAACAGGAGATCCTTGTTTGTGAAGGCTTCGTCTCCCTTTTCCACTCCTTGTTTAGAATAACATTAACAATGTACGAAGATCAAACACCAAAGTTGTTTTAGGCAGCTATCTTGGACCAGAGTTGCGGAGTTGTAGTCACAGCCAGCGGTTCTGTTCCGACTCGGAGTCGGTTGATTTTTAAAAGCTGTAGTCGGAGTATGAGTCGAACGTCACCGAAAAGTCATCGACTCCACAGACTTACCAGGGCTGCAGAGTCGGAGTCAGAGTCGAAGTCTGTGTGAATCGACAGTTCTGCCCGGAGGAGTCGGAGTCGATATTTGGATACCGGAATCAGAGTTGGAGCCAAAGTCACTGAAATTTCATCGACTATGCAGCACTGGTTGGGTCCTTTTCATAGAGCGTCTTGAATGACATATTGAGCGGCAATGACGTTAGCAATTCCGTTTAACTTTTTCATTAGACTTATAGATAGTACTTACGCTCGTTTTGTTCTTTGATCGGACAATTTGTTTGATCTAGGCCAAGTAAAGACTCATGTGAAAAATAGCGAAAACGACACGTGCTGGCGAAGTCTCCAATAACTCCCTGTTTCACGATTTAATGAATAAATAACATGGAACTGCTTATCTTATTACTGACCCTGCACATAAATCTATTAATTTCTTCCCTTTTACTGACATATAAAGACATAACCTTTTGAAAAATTGCACAACAAGCCTGCTACTACACCACACTCCCGTGTGTCACAACGCTAATCAGCGGCATTCACTCGGCTTGCTCCTAACTTACGATAATTCTCCCGCTAGATGGCAGGCCTGAGCTCAATGTCGCCAAAAACTGCGAAGACACCAATCCATTATTATCTCATCCATGACGGAACTTTGCCATTAGCAGCCTTCCGACATGACGCATCACACAACTACATCACCAACGGTACGCCTCTTTTATAAATGCAATGGATGACATCCTACAGCCGACAGTACTGCTATATCTGACTTCTAAGGGATCCGCCCCGCATGATGCGTGTTCGTGCTGTTTACCCTAATAACGTCGTGGGACCGCTGCGCGACACGCACAGTGACCAAGGTTTGCCGATATGTAATCAAACAAATGGACCTCCAGTCAAGAATGTCAGACGCCCAATAACAGGCTAGGGTCCTCATCACGAACAGTCCCCACGATGCGGCTATTGATGCAGTCCCTCACCGATCCCCCTACGGTGGATAGATAACTCAACCACCAACATCTCGACCAACGACTCAACATGAATGACCAGCAAACCCAGGCAACTCCTCCCCCCACCCCACCTCTCAGTCTGACCCACCTGATAGGAGAACTGTCGCACCACCTTGTAGAGCCGGTTGGCCTCCTCGGTGAAGTACTCAGCCTGCGTGAAGAGGTCCTGCGTGGTCTTGAGCGTGCCGTCGCCTCGCGTGAACTGGTACATGCCGAGCGCCATCTGCGACATGGCCTTGGCGCGGCGCAGGATGTCGTTGTCTTGGTCGTCGCCGGCGACCTCCTGCCACTTGTCCGCCTCGGCGGCCATTTCATCGTTGGCCAGCTTCATCTCCAGACCCGACTTGGAGATTTTGGCCTGCTCCTCGGCATCCAGCGGGCCGGGACGCACCTGGCGCAAGATAGGGGAAGGTGAGAACGCATGATCAGAAAGTGATCAGAAAGTGTTAAGTATGACTAACGAATTGTGAGTTATGACAAAGGCACTGATGTTGCGTCCATCTCTGTTATGGCTGTGTTGGTTGTGGTGAAGTGGCCCTTGTGGCGATGGCTGCTGTAGTGATTTTAATTATGATGTTGGCTGCAGTGACTCTGCTGTGGTGATCGCTGATGAGGTGCTGTGTACTGCAGCTGCTGCTGTCAGCTGTGTCGCTGACACCTGCTATACAGCTGACCCCGCTCGGTCGCACCGCCTGCGGTCACAGAGTACCGAGACTGCCGGCGGCACCGATCGAGCGTCGCCTATGTGAGGTCGCTCGGCCGCTCTCATAAGGCGCTGCAACTAAATCTATTGAGCCGTTCGAACTTGGCCACTGCTGAGCTCCGCAGAGCTCAGCCGACCCCACGCTCCCGGGTCGTGGGGGAGGGGGAGGGAGTGGTTCAGAGAGACGTTTCCTGGAGCGAGATCGCCCACACAGCCGCTGAAATAACAACACCCGCAGAAGCCGCCGGCGATACGGAAAAGAAATAAAAGTGTTCCATAAATAATATCGCTGGAAAGCCTGAGCTGTAAGCAATCCACGATGAGATAGTGCTTCCAGTCGCAGCTAAAAGCTTCATTTCATAGCGATGTCGCAAACTTTAAATGGGGACTTTAAACGCTGAGTTTATTCATCCATTTCTTGAGAAATTAAGTTTATAGCTCGGGAAATGGAATTATAACCAGACAATGCTTAGAACAGTTTTTTTACACGGGACATTTACACCGAGACATTACTGTTCGCAATGTGGCTAGGCTCATTGCGGATGGATATCTCTGTAAGCTTATGTCCCCGTTCAAAAGTTAACTGTAAAACCACCAGCGAATATCGTTGTTAGAAAAGGAAAACTGCTTCCAGCTATCTTGGAATCGATCTCGATTCGGTTAGGATAAAAATGCCAGGGCATATTTTAACAAATTTTTACTGTGCCCCAAAGTTGAGCAGAGGGCACGTGCTACGACTAAGGGCACAGGGCAAGGAACAAAGTAGGGCACTGAGGAGGGCAGAAAGTAGGGCACGGCAGGTTACAGGGCAAGGCAGCAGGACATTTTAGAGGGAAGGGAACAGGTCAAGGCACACAACAGGGCACAGGTCAGGGAACCGGACAGGGCACAGGGCAGGGACGCAGTGGGTCAAATCAGCAGGGGCTACGTCCCAATGCGAGGTGGCTGCGTCCCAGAATGGGACGCAGTAAGGCACTTAAAATATGCCCTGAAAAATGCAGTTGAAGTGAGGTGAGATGCGAAGGAATCATTGTGAATACCGAACATCACGTAATCTTTGCGTAATTTGACCGAGCATTTCTTAGGGATGAGATACAACAAACAGAAAGAAGCTGCTCGATATATCCATTCCTCCATTTATGTGTGGTTTGCTGCACGCAGCTGACCCTGTACCTCGCTGCGCATTCCTCGGCTGACCTACCTGTTTGGAGGTGGTGCCGTAGTGCGCGCTGCTCGGCTGACCTACCTGTTTGGAGGTGGTGCCGTGCTTGCCGGGTCTGGGCAGTGACATATAGACGGGCTGCTGGGCCGGCCGACCGGCCGTCCTCAGACATTCGGATATCTCCCGGGCGGCCACCTTGACGTCGCCGACCAGATTCAGCCACATGTCGGCAAACGCTGAGGACACGGACACATGTCGGCAAACGCTGAGGATACAGACACATGTCGGCAAACGCTGAGGACACGGACATATGTCGGCAAACGCTGAGGACGCCGATACATGTCGGCAAACGCTGAAGGCACGGACACATGTCAGCAACGGCAAACGCTCCGGAAACGAACACGTCAGCGAACACTCTGCTGTGTTTGTTGTTGTGTTTAATAACTAATACTTGGCGCTTATATAATCGATAATTCTCACAGCTGAAGTAATGTGATGCTAAAACTTCAAAAAGACCGGCATCGTGAGATATCTTTTTGGGGTCAAAGCTAGCGTTATAAACAGAAGTTCATGTCACATTTAGAGATCAATTTGATGTATGGAATGAGCCAATCTTTTCTAATACTGAAGGAAATTCATCTCATTGGTCTGACGTGGTCAATATTTCTCGGACGACGGTATCGGCCGGAGCGCCTTCGACAGACGCCGCCGACGGGGTCACCCCACTTCCCCTCCCCTCCCCCTCCCTCCCGGCCAGAGACCAGCGAGCACTGACTGGCGAGGGGAGTACCGGCGAGCCGTGACGTCAACTAGAAATAGGTATGTCGCATATACCAGGACATACCAGGAATACCTAATAAAAAGTCCCGCCACAACGCAGGTGGGAAATTACTTGCCGAACACCACCTATACTATATTCTGGTGACATGTAACTCGAGTATACCAGATTATTATTCATTGAAACTTTAGGTATATTTACACATGAGTTTTCCAACATTTGTATAATCCTCAAGCAAATTTTCCAGCGATTCCCCGTCATGCATACAGCACTCACCTTCGAAGTTTTCTTTAGCTATTTTGGAGTTGGGGTGAAGGCACACAATGTGGGCGGCAGCTAAGAGCTGCGGCCCGTACAATCGCAGGTTTATTTCCGAGTATTTGCTGGCAATCTGCAGCGTTTCCGTCGGCGCTACGTGACGTAACAGCTTACACACCTGCAAATGTCACGTGATGTCAATGCTTCTTCATGGCTTACTCATATAAGATGTCACATATTGCACAAGAACAAAAATGTCAAGTGATAAATAGACCACTATATATCGTGATACCTCGTGCGTGAAACAATAACTTGTCATCTGGACTGGTGATAGTTACCTACACCACAAATCGCACACTTAAAATAACATATGACGCACTCACACCTGAAATTTCACAAGTTGGTACAGTTTACCCTCACATCACACGCGATGCAGCTGTTACACATGGGTAAAATGGCGCAACTAACTTTGGCGGTGTTACATTAGCAACATGGACACACGTGGACCGTAAAACTAGCACACATCAACACGACACAAGCGGCAAATATGACCACACATTGCACATCCACACATCGGGACGGGACACAGACGGTACAACACCCCAATATGCCTCTGGGATCGGGCTGTCGGTGCTCGCCCCGTGCCCCGGCCTCTGATGGCTCTGTAGCTGCAGAGCCGGGTATCAGTATGTGACAGCCCTGTCCCGACCTGCACCTGGTGGGCCCAGATAACCACCCGGCAGGGTCTCCAGCCATGCGGAGACGAGACGAGAGAGGGAGGGAGGGAGAGGGAGAGGGAGAGGGAGAGGGAGAGGGAGAGGGAGAGGGAGAGGGAGAGGGAGAGGGAGAGGGAGAGGGAGAGGGAGAGGGAGAGGGAGAGGGAGAGAGAGAGAGAGAGAGAGAGAGAGGGAGAGAGAGAGAAAGAGAGAGGAGAGGGAGAGAGCCTCTCTCTCTCCCTCTCTCACTCTCCCTCAAAATATCCGTCCTCTCTCAGAGAGAATGGATATTTTGCCGCGAATTGAAATTGATGAGGTTTTCTACGAACACCGGAAAGTTAAGTGTTAAGAAGAAGAAGAAAAAAACTGTTTTCGACTCGTAAACACTAAAATGGCACTGATATTAGCATCATTTCCATGAACTTCTGATTTTCAGCACCTTTTCGTTTTAGGTAATCGGAATTTATATTTTAATAACTGAACATATCGGGACAATAAATAAATCAGAGCATAGTAGCACGCAAGGAAACTTACAAAATGCAGTGATTAGGAAAACGTCGTCGCAGACAAACACGCGACTGGTCATATATATTCACGGCGACAGGACGGAGTTTTTTCTGTGTATCACAGCAGAAGGATGATCTATCGGCCGACGTCAGCAAGATAAGTCAGTACACAACAGGATATATCACTTACGCTAATGGATACGCCACACACAAACATACACACACCCACACAGAAAAAAAAACAAATTGATCATCTCTCGCACAACCGAGCGTGATCCATCCTTCACCACCCCTCCCCTCCCCTCCCTCCCTCTCACTCCCTCACGCCCTCTCCGTTGCCACCCCGCCTCCCCTCCCCGCTCCTGACCCAGGGCGCACGAGCCGCTCGAGCTCTTACCTCTTGCACATGGTCGCTATGCTCCTGAAACCGAAAACAAAACTCTTCTAGCCGGTCGGTGTCCACCGCCAGTGCCGAGGCCTTCATACCCGATATCACCTCTCCCTCGTCACCGACGCCGCGGATCAGCTCTGACGCCTACCGGGACACGAGAGGTCAGGCTAGGTCGGGTCAAGCCGGGTTAGCTTGGGTCATGGCGGATCAGCTCTGACGCCTGCCGGGGGCACGTAAGGTCAGTTTGGGTCAGGTCAAGTTAAGCCAGCTGGGCAATCGAATGAGCGTTAATGAGCCCGCCGGGTCGAGGCAGATCGGGTTAGGTCAGGTAAGGTTGGGCCGAGTTGGGTCATTTTGGGTCATGATAGATCATTTCCGACGACTACCATGACAGGCGCATGTAAATCAAGTCGGATAATTTCATCGAGCATGTTTGAAAGCCATTAGCACAAGTGGTGTAAACAAGCGAGGGAAGCACTGTTACGTGTTGCCACAGAAAGTACGCATATACCTGGCACAGGTACACATATGGCGGCACTAACCTGTTCCATGGCGATGGCCTGGAAGTTTGACCTCAGCTCCCGCATCGATTTGAGCACATTCGCTATTGACTCGTCATACTCAGCCGTCGGAGACGTCGATTCTCGGTTCTCCTAAAAACGATACGTAAGCAGAACGTCGTCTTTGAAATCAAAATGAAGAATGGAATGCATGTAAAGAAGCTTGATTTTCTCTGACAAATTGATTCCCACCGTTTGCAGAAAACAATAAAAAGACGATGACTCTAGTCCTCACATCTGTGTCGTAGGTCACTTTGTTCACTCTACAAGATAACGCTGGCAAATTAACTATTCCCATTTAAGAATAATAATCGCATGAGATGAGAAATAAATAGATAAATAAGAAGGCAACGAGCTAATGAAAATAGCCAGTAGCGCTAGCGTTGTCTTGAACATAAGCGATAACAGACCAGACCCTAATGAAGTGTTATGAGAAAGCTAAAGTTACAAATGATAAGCGAAATGACCGATCTAATAAAACAGTTCATGAGGTGGGAGAACGGCGTTTGAACTCAAGCTCAACCTGAAAGCCTACTCTTTTCTAAATATCCAATGCTGAACCAGTCTGAGGTGGCGGTTACCATAGCGACGCCGCAGCGCAGCAGCTGATTGAGCTCGAGTTTGGCGCGCTCGCAGAGCAGCAGGATGTGCTCGCGGGCCTGGTGGGGCGTGTAGGCCGAATCGGTGAAGTCCTGTGACCGCTCCGATATGGTCTCCAGCAGCGAGGAGAGCCGCTCCCGGTAGGTCTCGCCGCACAGCGTCATCCGCGTCATCTCCACACACTCCTCGTACCTGGAAAATCACGCAGGAATTATTTCATCGGACAAAGACTTGGTGATGACCGGTTGGTAAACAGGCGGTTACATTAAAGGCATTTTTGCTCATCCGACATCCGCCCATCGTCATCGTACAGTCGTGTACAGGTTGATGGTCCCCTACTCTTTATCCACCGGGTTCCTATGGCTCAGCATTGGCAGCAGCCGCCTGGTACCGGTAGGCTGTGCCGCATGACCGGAGAGTGAAGCGGCACAGTCTACCCACGCCGTTTGACATCGGCTCGGGTCGCCGCGCCGGGTGGAGCGCTTTGTAGACCAGCTGTCACGTCAGACCAGCGCGGGGAGAGAGGCTCGTCTCGGTGGTTGGCGTGGGCTGGGGAGTGGTGTGGGGCGTGTTGGTGGACCATGGGGGCTGGGCGGGTTGTGTGGTCACTTGCTGCATTGCACATTTTGCGTCGCTTAACAATTGCATTCCTGTTTTTGCTAAGCACAATGCACGGAAGACCCAGCGAATATAATTTACTTGTGCATTGTGCAAAACGTGATTTGGCACGGTATCGAGGCAACCATAGGTCTTGTGCCACATATATGCATGATATTTAGGCAATACGCTTATGAAAATGGTAGATTGATCGGATTGATCCTGGATGTCAATTCGTATGCTAAATGTCGACATGTAATAAATGAACGAATGAATGAATCAATCAATCAATCGACAATCGACATGTAGATATAAAACCGTATAAATGGCTCGCAACCACTAAAATCAAACCAGATCCTAACTCGGAAAAGTAGCCGGAGCCCCGATGAGGCTCGAACCGGGACTCCACGTTGAAAGTTTTGCCAATGATCCATCATCATTCCACCAAGCTAGAGCGACCGGCATCTGAAACCACAAAAACATTCATTGACTTTGCTGCCGACCTCCCGGCCCCACCGCCCGCCCGGCCAGACTTTGCCCCGGCCGTGGCCACCATCCGGTGTAGTTCAGCGTAGGAGTGCTAGACTGTCAAACTGACCGGTTGTGAGAGGCCCGGTTCGAGACGCTTCGCGTGCTGGATGTTTATTTCTGTGTCCGAGGCTATGCGATTAGTCCACTTTTCAGAGAGATTATTTGGTGACAGGTCTGTTTTCTGTCTTTGCTGCAATTCGTGAGGAGACCGTATGGACTAGAGTTGCAAAGTTTTCCCCAAAGGCTGCTACCGGCACCGCCCCGCCCCACAAAAATTTCCTGTGATACCAGCATGCTACCACGCCCCAAGCAAAAAAAAAAAAAAAAAACGCCAAATTACCGGCATACTAAAAAACCCGCATTCTTGATTCTAGCTTACCCCTGCAAGAGATGCCACATTTTGGCAGTTTCATTACCCCTCCCACCCAACAGCCATCCATTGTCCAACCAGGGGCGGATCCAGGAAAACTCCAAGGGGAGGGTCATGAATCGAAGTGGTGCCCCTACCTATACCCAAAATTAAAAACTCAACGGATTTCGTCCACTTCATTTTGGTGGTGCCCCCATTTTCAGTTTTTTTCTTTTTATTTTTTATTTTTAGTCAGTATCTTAACTCTTAGCCACAACCACATTTACCAATTGTAAGCAAGTATATATGAATGTGCTATGTGTATATGTTACAGGCAAAGTGAAAACTCGGGCATTTTGCAAAATGCCTAGGCAATTTGCAAAATGCCTGACCCGCCAGGCATTTTGCAAAATACCCAGGCAGTTTGCAAACTGCCTGACCCACCAGGCATTTTGCAAACTGCCTAGGCATTTTACAAAATGCCTGACCCGCCAGGCATTTTGCAAAATGCCTGGGTTTCCATATATGTATTCCACCGTTTTTGTTGACTACAGGCGTTGATCATAAACGTTCCACTGCGACTGACCCTACAACACATTTCACATGTGTTGTGGGCACATGTGACACATTCCACGGTCACGAATACAGGGTGTCACGAAATTGTTGCGGGATGTTGTACTTGTGTCCCGAAATATATTGCATTGTAGTTGCGTCAGTGTTCTCCAGCACCTCGCTGACAAGTTATCAGAGGCCACATGGTCTGTACCCGCGGCACCTGGTGAAGCTCAAATAGGCCTCTGTAGCCCATCATGTCCCAAACGAGAATATCCAGTGCCCAGTGGGTGCTTCACCGTCTCGACGGTGCAGCGCCTCTGAGCTGCTGTTGGCCCAGAACTGCTTGTCGAGACGGTTAGTGACTAAGAAGAGCTCTAATAGCCGTTTTCACGACGGGCTATCCGGCGAGTGCACCTAATTTGACGAAATCTGCACCTAATCTCTTTTACAGCAAATATCTTTATTTTATGAATTTATTTCAGTGTTTTAACCGATGATGCTGTCTGATAATATGACAAAGGAGGCATATAAGCAATTAGTACAACCCTAGCTGATAGCTACTAAGAGACACACTGAACCTAATTTGGCCAAATATGCACCTAATCTGCACCAGATGTGAACCAAATGTGTACCAGATGGTCGTCGTGAAAACGGCTGATATCGCCTCACGGCCTCATCATTGAAAAGTCTGAATCTCTATAGTCCTGAATGGTCGAGTTTGGTGGGTTTTGTCGAAATCCAGCTGCATCACTTATGGATGACGGTAAGTCAGGGTTGCAGCCTGAGGTTGAGCGGCTTCAGCTTCAGTGTAAAATCTTCAGATACCGGGGGATGGCCGATTTAGATGCCGAGTGCCCTGGTCGAGATGCCCTGGTGCCGGACCCGTTCAAATTACATCCATTCAGCCCTCAGGAGGGGCATGGAGGGACAAGACCGCGCCAATGGCGTATCAAATTCGTGACCCTGTATACCTACGTCTTGCGTGTCGAGGTGGAGCCAACGCTGAATGGACTTGAGCCACCGTCTCCGTACCTTTCGTATATACGGAGTTGTAGCCGTGTGTATAAAAGCTGCGATGTCCAGTAGGTATTCTGCCCTGGTGGGCAACTGTTCCGGCAGAGACAATTGATTATGTACCTAAACGTGTAACAATCAAATTTTCGTAACTTGGAAGAGTATTCTTTTCTGATCAATATCCACCCACAGTAGTTTCAAAAAGCCACCAAGAGCTCTTAGAAACAGTATAATCATTGTACCGAGCGCATGTTTACCCACGAAACCACGCCCGGTGCTCGGCACCCGACGGCCGCTGGGGCTCAGTGACCTGAAATCGGCGGCGCTACCCGGAGAACGCAGTGTCCCCTCACTTGGTGCGCATTGACAGCGATTAACTTTTGTAAGCGGCAGTTACAAATGATGTTTACCTATACATCGACTACATCGTCGCTAGTGCGAGTTTGATGTCAGGCATTTTGCAAAATGCCTGGGAAAATATTTCAGGCAGTTTGCAAAATGCCTGGTGGGTCAGGCAGTTTGCAAACTGCCTGGGCATTTTGCAAAATGCCTGGCCGGTCAGGCATTTTGCAAATTGCCTAGGCATTTTGCAAAATGCCCGAGTTTTCACTTTGCCTGTAACATATATATGTTGTGGACGCTGAGTAGTGAGTACTTACCAGGAACGTTATCAGGTAAGCAAATCGTTGTCAGTCCGACGAACTTGACCCTGGCGTCTAAAGGGTCTGTCCTTGACACTTCAGGCTTGTCAGGGGCACCAAAGTCCTTCCAGGGACACCACAAACCTGTCAGGGGCACCTACGGCCTTGTAGGGGCGCCACAGGCCCGCCAGGGGCACCACAGGCCTGCCAGGAAGCAGGGGCACCACAGGTCTAGCAAGTATACACGACAGGCCTGTCAGGGGCACAACGGGCCTGTTGGGTCCATGAGCACCCCTAGGGGCAGGGGCACCACAGTCCTTCCAGGGGCACCGCAGGCCTGTGAGGGGCACCAGCGGCCTAGCAGGGGCACCAGTCAACACAGGCCTGCCGGGGGCACCACAGACCTGCCAGGGGCACCAGAGGCCTGCCAGGAGCACCACCGACCTCGCAGGGGTAACTTGGGCCTGTCAGGGCCCAGGGGCACCACGGGCCTGTCGAGAGGCACTTCAGGCTTTTCAGGGGCACCATAGTCCTCTCCGGGCGCAGGGGTAGCAGGGGCACCAGAGGCCTGCCAGGGGCACTACAGGCCTAGCAAGGGCACCACTGGTCTATCAGGGGCACCACGAGCCTGTCATAGCCATGCATCTCAGGCTTGTCAAGGCCCAGGGGCGCCACAGGTCTGTGAGGGGCACCAGCGACCTAGCAGGGGCACCAGTCAACACAGGTCTGCCAGGGGCGCCACAGACCTGCCAGGGGCACCACAGACCTGCCAGAGGCACCAGAGGTCTGCCAGCGGCACCACCGACCTCGCAGGGGCACCTTGGGCCTGTCAGGGGCACCACGGGCCTGCCGAGGGGCACTTCAGACTTTTCAGGGGCACCAGTCCTCTCCAGGCGCAGGGGTACCAGTGGCCTAGCAAGGGCACCAGAGGCCTGCCAGGGGCACCACAGGCCTAACAAGGGCACCACGGGCCTGTCAGGGGCACCTCAGGCTTGTCAGGGCCCAGGGACACCACAGTCCTTCCAAGGGCACCGCAAGCCTGTCAGGGGCACCAGAGGCCTGCCAGGGGCACCACAGGCCTAGCAAGGGCACCACTGGCCTGTCAGGGGCACCTCAGGCTTGTCAGGGCCCAGGGGCACCACAGTCCTTCCAGGGGCATTACAAGCCTGTCAGGGGCACCAGAGGCCTAGCAATGGCACCACAGGCCTGCCATGGACACCACAGGCCTGCCAGGGGCACCACCGGCCTTGCAGGGACGCCTCAGGCCTGTCAGGGGCACCACGTGCCTGCCGGGGACACTTCAGGCTTGTCAGGGGCGTTACAGTCCTGTCAGGGCCCAGGGGCACCAGGCCCGTGGTGTCCCTGCTAGGCCTGTGGTGCCCCTGGCGGTCCTGTGGTGCCCCTGTCAGGACTGTGATTCCCCTGATAGGCCGGTGGTGCCCCTGGCAGGTCTTTGGGCCCCCGGGCCTCAAGGGGGGGGGGCCATGACCCATGTGACCCCCCCC